CCCCAAAACCCCAAAACCCCAAAACCCCAAAACCCCATTAGGCAATATATAGCTTATTGAAAATAAAAGGTAGATTATGAATTAAAGGAAAAACTTAATGTATGATATTTTATTTAATTTTTTTAAGGCATTTGCAAATCTTATATATTCATATAATTGAACCAACTGTAGGAGCAAATTGATTAGATGTTGTACCAGTTCTTAGGAAAGCTTTTTCTTATAGAGGCTTATTATCAAGAGGTAGTAATGATTTCTTGTGATATTTAGCGAAATCAGCTTCATATTAAGAAAATTCATAGCCATGAAATGAAGTTGGGTCCCACTTAGGCTGCAAAGATTACTCTAAAATTATCCTTCTATTTTTTACATATTCCTGTTCCTCCAACCTACGCTTCTCAACTACATCCTAAACAAAATCATCAACACTCATGTGAGATATTACATTAAAATTTTTCTCATTTTACTCAACTAATTTCTTTCCTTATCTAGTCAACATTGATATTTCCATCTAGTCTTTTTTGAAGTCCTTGCCAAAATTAGATGTTAGCTTAAAAGGCTGAACTTAGCCAGGTGGGATAGTCGTTTCATAACTTCTTGGCAATAAATTTATCCTATACTGAAAAATAATCATTCATTTATTGCACACTTGATAATAATGATTTGGAAAACTTACTATTTCTTTATTAGTTAACGCAACTCCTTATAGTCTCTTAATGTCCTTCTCAAAGTCATAGTTTTTATTGTATGTTTCTCTCCAGGGTTATTGCTTTGATGTGGGCTTCTTGGGTTGTAATTCTTTCATTTTTTGCCTCGCAGCCAATTTATCATCTGTGGTCTTTGCTCTCGAACTCTATATTGTAATAGGTAAGTATTTGATAGAGATAATTTTGTCTATTAAGTCTTTACCTAATGCTTTTACTCCTAAAGTTAGTCCATGAGCTGTTTAAATTCAAAAACCTGCCCTTCAACTACTTGGGCTAATGCTGATTTCATTACGATTTTAATTATAAATATTCTTATATTTTATTTAAAAATAATGCAGTCATTCTGCTTAGTAAAATAATGATCAGCGGGGTTTTGGGGTTTTGGGGTTTTGGGGTTTTGGGG